TGAGGCTGCGCCGGAGGAGTTTGGAGGCCCTGGAGGAGCAGGGCCATGCCCTGCGAGGCCACCTCCAGAGCCTGCTTGACCGCTTCCCATTTCCTCCTGCTCCTGCTCCCCCTGCTCCTCCTGCTGCTCCCCCCCCCCCCTCCTCCCCCCCCCCCCCCCCCCCCCCCCCCCAGTTCCTCCTTATGTACCCCTGCCGGCCCCCACTCCCCTCAGTTCCTCCTTATGTACCCCTGCCGGCCCGCCACTCCCCCAGTTCCTCCTTATGTACCCCTGCCGGCCCGCCACTCCCCCCAGTTCCTCCTTATGTACCCCTGCCGGCCCGCCACTCCCCCCAGTTCCTCCTTATGTACCCCTGCCGGCCCGCCACTCCCCCCAGTTCCTCCTTATGTACCCCTGCCGGCCCGCCACTCCCCCCAGTTCCTCCTTATGTACCCCTGCCGGCCCGCCACTCCCCCCAGTTCCTCCTTATGTACCCCTGCCGGCCCGCCACTCCCCCCAGTTCCTCCTTATGTACCCCTGCCGGCCCGCCACTCCCCCCAGTTCCTCCTTATGTACCCCTGCCGGCCCGCCACTCCCCCCAGTTCCTCCTTATGTACCCCTGCCGGCCCCCACTCCCCTGCCGGCCCGCCACTCCCCCCAGTTCCTCCTTATGTACCCCTGCCGGCCCGCCACTCCCCCCAGTTCCTCCTTATGTACCCCTGCCGGCCCGCCACTCCCCCCAGTTCCTCCTTATGTACCCCTGCCGGCCCGCCACTCCCCCCAGTTCCTCCTTATGTACCCCTGCCGGCCCGCCACTCCCCCCAGTTCCTCCTTATGTACCCCTGCCGGCCCGCCACTCCCCCCAGTTCCTCCTTATGTACCCCTGCCGGCCCGCCACTCCCCCCAGTTCCTCCTTATGTACCCCTGCCGGCCCGCCACTCCCCCCAGTTCCTCCTTATGTACCCCTGCTGGCCTGCCACTCCCTCAGTTCCTTCTTGCCAGGAAGCTCCGACAAAGGGGAGGTGGGTGGGATTTGGAATGGACATGGGCAACACCCCTCGAAGAACGACAGCTACGAGGAGGTAAGTCACCCGTTTTTTCTGACATCGCACTACAGCGTAAACGGAGCAGAGGTCCCAGGTTAGACCCTTTCTAAAACTTTCTAGCCTGCCTGCGACAGGGAAAAAAGAACTTCCCGGGGGTTATAAAGGTGTCGGGAGGAAGGATGGTCTTGTGGCTAAAACACGGCTTGGGAGTCAGGAGCCCCGGGTTCTGTTCCTGCTTCTGCCGCAGATCCGTTGCGTGAGCTTAGGCAAGGCTGTTGGACCTTCTCAGTCTTGGGGTTGTTCAGTTCTCTCGGGCGGCGGGTTCCCTCAGCGTGTTTGAAATCCTGGGTGGGAAGGTGCGTAGAAGATGCTATTCCTAGGTAGCCACTGCTCCTGACATGCAGCCGGGATCCTGCTCTGCGCAGCCGGTGCACTGTTTGGGAAGGAGGATCTGCTCTCTGGCCGCGGAGTCAGCGTGGCCCTGTGCTGCCCAGGAGGGTGGTAGAGGAGCAACGTGACCGCTTTTGAAGTGGCTACTCCCAGCTCTGCTGTTTCCCTCGCTCCTCCTGCTTATGAGTCTCTGACTCCGCTCGTGTGCCATGGCACTGCGTCCCGTGTAGTGTGGAACGTGGCGCTATTTCAGCACTGGGCTGGTGTTCTCATGGAGATGCAATTCCCACCCCCATCTGCCTCCTTAGTCTTAATGTCTGAGTTCTTCCAAGGGGGCTGGAACAATCCGTAAGCCGGGGGGGTGCTAAGAGCCATTGAACCAGACTGTAAATC